GAAAAACAAATAAATGAAACCGGGGGAGGAAAGTAATGTCATAGGAAACTAATCACGTGCTACAATGTACGCTTGGACCAGTGAGGAACCACTTTTATGTGTATATAGTATTGCGTTAGCCACCATGTCTTTCTCTCCTCATAGATTACAATCATATTATTGTTTTGCCTTTTAGTCAGAGTCTTTCCTGACCCTCATGCTATCACATTTATCAGTGTCTCTTGGGCTATAAGACATGCGGCTCGACATAAGTAATGGAAATTTTCAGCGCAATGCCTTTGTAAGTGTCAATAACCATATTGCTCGCCGTCTTTGATTGAGGTAAGCTAACGTGGCATGCTGCTATACTACCTTGACATCGATACGGTGGCCCTCGGAAGATGAATGCTGAACACATGTTCGTATTGTCCTCGAAGGTAGAGCGAAACATTCCGAGAAGGCCAAGAGAGAATCACGACGAAGGATGACTGTAAGAATTTGCGACTGCATTGCAGTCGTAAGGAGCGGGGTTGGCAAGCTTTTGACCGAAAGTTAATCTACAGAAATTTCATCCCTATAATGAACCAGAATTGGAATCCAAATTTAATGATTTTTGTATCAGAATAACTGAGAACCTTCTATATCTTCATTTTCTCTGTAGGTTTTTTCTTGAACGTGCTCATCTTGGGAATTCATCCAGAATGGTCTTATCAACTATAGCATCGGGAGACGAAAACTGAACAACAATAAATGATGTCCCCTACGAGCCTCCAGCTCTCACTGTAGAGTCTGCAGATCAGAGATCGAGTAACACCTTCATCCTCACCTCGATGAGGATTCTTAACGGCTATCGCGGTCCACATCTTTTTCATTTGTCGGAATATCCCCTAGCACTATTATCAAGAAGCTAACCACGACCAGATCAGATGCTAGGGTCGATGCCCTACTTACAAATTACTCTTGATAGTGGAGAAGCCTTCCAATGAATTTCCGGAGCGTATCCATCACCCGATACGGAGATAGTGGATTGGACCAAGACGGCCTCTAATATTACAAAGAGAGATATAGATGAATATGCGCACCTCATGTGGCTCCGGTAACTATGCCTCGCCTGGCTGGGGTGGCGGGTTTTTCAATAAAAAAAATTTTGGGGTAGAAGGTTCCGTGGGAAAAAATTGATTAAAATCCACAGGTACATACTGAGCTGAATAGCTATCCATCACAGGCAATACATCAGATCTCTTAAAAACAGAAAAGGTTGGGAGCACTGTACAAGGTATGGCCTGGACCAGTAAGGAGCCCAATGTGTTCAGTAGTCAAGACTCAAGGAGCACAACAAGAACTAAACCAGCTGTGGCGTTCTGAAATTCGTAAATTGAGGTCCATGGAATTTTTTATATCAATTAGGTGTGTTCAGCTATATAGCTTTGACGCATGACCATTGCCATATTTATAAATTCGATTACTCTTTTAGTTATAGAGGCACTAAGACTCTGGATTTAATTCAGGCCTCCATAGTTATGGGTGCGATAGTGAAGAGAAAGGCTAGGGATTAGACGGGTTTTAAGCCTGTAGGATTAAGAGACTGGCGGATCGGTAAAGTAGTAGCTACAACGGATAAATAAATTGGTAGTGAATTAGAGGACTCTGTTTGTAGCTGGATAATGCATCCAATGAAGAAATCCACCCTTGGCTGGTATGAGGAGATGTCGGGCTTTGAAGGAAGGGGTAAGTACCGAAACTTGGTGGTGTCGAAAGCGTTTTATCGTAGTAGAATTTGCGCCTCTACGCGTCAAAATCGAGCTCTCTAGACGGCCGAACTTGGTATGATTTAACACGGGGATGAAGTGTTAGGTCGTCCGGTTATCCAAGTAGAATGAGGTTCAATCAATAATGGAAATATCGCGCAATGAAATAGGCGCAACATTCTTGAGATGAGAGAAAAATTTGACCTTGAATGTCGTATTCGGATTACCGCTCAAAAAGAAGGAATTGTGCGCTATAAGTAGTACAAGTGTACGCGACATAGAGGCTAGGAAGCAACAAAAACAGTTGTGGCGCCATGGAGATATAGTTATCCCTCTATTCTCTCCTGCTCACCCCATACAGCTGCTTGTGTATCCATCTAGTAGTCTGAAGCACTACCATGTTGCTCTTTCCGACCTCTTAACTACACAAGATCGTGTCGGGAACCTAGACGAAATGTAGGGCCCGTACGTCCAAAACAATTTATGTCTCCACTTCTAACATGTACTTATTTTATTTTTATAATTGTTTAACGTATCTAACATGTACTTGTATAAGCGCAGATTGCTCAAACCGTTAGATGTCACGTGATAGACGGAGTAAATAGATAGAACAGGTCAATTGTAAAGATTATTCAAGATTTTTCTGTTCATCCTCTATAATAGTTATCTGGACTTACCCTAATTATCCTTCTGTGACCCCTTATCATACATGAGCTGTTCAACATCAGACTGCACAGCCTCGGCTCTAGCATATTCTACTCTACACCAGAACATGACCTCGAAGTTCCGGTGCCTGCTAGATTACCCGAGTCATGATATGATAACTCCCGTACTCCTGTCGCCGATCATAATCTGGCCTACGGACTGTATCCACTTATGCAGACATAATTCTGCTTACAACTTGGTAGTAATTAGCCTTATGCAGATCGGCCCTTTCTTTGCTTAAGAAGCCAAAGGAGTTCGGAGGGTCCCTACTGTTAAAATTTATTCTAATCTTAACTCTGGGCATAATGGTGGCCAACAAGACAAAAATTAACAAGGCCTCTGATTCAAAGATTAAGTGATGAGGATGCGTCGATTAGAAAAACAGTCCAATGCAAGTAGTCATGATTAGTGCGGAGCAAAGATGAGCATTATGAGCCAAAGCCAGAAGCATCAGCATGTTCAAGTTAGGTCACGTGATTCGTCTATTTGTAATCAAGTTTAGATGGTGAAATGATACACCGTCCGGGTCGCTCTCCAAATCAGGTTCAAGGTGGGTTGAAAATCTGCCCCATTCGAGACTGGAGAAAGCTGGTTCGAACCCGGAAAGAGCTGTACAGCATATTCTCTCGCGGTGACGTCTTATTTGTAGGGAGACGAAAGCAAAATCGGATAACCAAGGACTTTTCACGCTTTTCCTGGTAGTGGGTACGCACGAAAGAGGTTGTTTGCTGTAAGAGTTAATATCGAGTGGTATCTGCGAATGAAATATGAGTTTGAGTGTTCCAAACATCAAAATGAGTCAATCTATATGGAATACATGTCTTCCTAAGTTGGTTGCATGAGCCTTAAGGCGCCAAATCATGATAATCGAATTGAACCTGTATATATGTGTATTTATAAATTGTAAACGTTGTTGGCTCAATCTCATATTGTGACTAGATCACTAAGGATCAATAGTTAGGTCTATGTGGAAACACCGCCATCCCTTTATATCTGTAAGCACGGATCACCTCCGATGTCTACATAACTCCCTGTCCTCATACGTCACATGACCTCATAACCAGAGCGGACGACAATTAAATATGGAACCTGACAAGGGCCCAAAGCAGTTTAGCGATGAAAACACGAAGTGTGCACATCAGGCTCAAAGCGTATTTAGATGGAAGAAAAGTACCCGGAGTCTACAGTCCAAGCTGTCCATGTGGCTACTTATCGCAGAACATCAAGCACATGATAATGTCCTGCCCCGATGGTCAAATGAAAGAGGAGAGATTTGGAGACAAGCAAAAGATCGATCCAACGAAGCTATGCTAAATAGTCCTGGAGACATCAAAAGGATTAAACTGTTATGTTACGGGAATACCCACTATTGTGTGTGTACTGTCTGCGTCAGAACGGTAGAGATGGAATCTAGGATTTAGTCAGCTACAGAGACTACCAAAGGTAAACTGATGCAAAAAAAAACCAAAGGTATAGAATGGGTACGGTTGCTTGGCAACGAAGACTGTTATGATCGGCGTCGTCAATTGCAATCCCTTATGTAAATAGCAAGATGTGGAGCACACTTGATTTTCAGTTCAAGTTAATCGACTGGTTTTTTCCTGGACTTGCACTGCTGTATACCAACACCAATTGATCCGGCGATAAGTGGATCCTAAATCAAGGCTAGATTGAGTAATTCCAGATGACCAAGGCGTTCGAAATGCTGCTGAGGGATAGGAACAGGATAAGCCATTCTTGAGATGAATATGATGTGATTAACAAGCAGGGCACTGTAGTGTGACTGAGCTTCCTGAAGGATATATTAGAAAAACATAGACAATAAACACGAAGATTTGGGGGTTTCCACCAAAAGGTTTCCTTATATGTTGATAAGAAAGTATGATAGACACCTGCATGGACCCATAGGGCTGTCATAGCTCTATAGCTGAATATACGTCAGATGATTAAAAAAAAAAAGGACCCATAGGGCGCCAAATCAGGTCATTGAAATCAAATCTATTAATTAAATATGTAACCACTCATATATATACGCGTCATATCCCTATCTTTCAAACTCAATCCCCGAAGTGCCAGAAACACTATCAAGATCTGTTATCTATCGCAATCCTGATAATTATCGTGGGTTAGTAATATTCGGCATGCTTTTATGGATCACTAACGAGAGAATTATCAACACCAATAGCCATACACAATGATACACAAAAAAATCATACAAAAAGCATGATGTGCCTTGAAGCCCAGTACAGAGCGGTCTTGGAACATGTCGACGGTGTCTGGCCTGCTACGCAACAGTTGGTACCAAGAAAATCCAGTGGTTTGGGCGCTTCGGCAATGCATAAGGCTGAAACATTACCCTGTCGGTAACCCTGCCATATAACAAAATTTGAAGCTTAGGAGCCTAGCCGTCTTGTTCACTCTAACAAGTGCTGGACTTCCTGGTTGACTAAATCAAGGAATTATCTGACCAGCCACATTGTAGAAAAAATTTGCATTTGGCTTAAGACTCTAATCAAAGAACAAAAAATTTCAAGAATTTAGCCTTAATTCCTCACTGAAAATCCAAAAATGTCCAAGATTACGCTGGATGATGGGCAGGGTAACTGCCCCTCTCCTGGGCTTCAGTTCTTGGGTAATCAAAAATCTGCCAAAGGATCTCTCGAAGATACAATACTTATTACATGGCCAGCGCTGTTAACAAAGCATTTAAACCTACTCGAATCGCACGTTAGTCTATTAGATCAACTTTTGCATAATATACCAAAACATTCAAGCTGTATAAAGAGCAATGATCCCGCAAAATGCGAGGTTTTAGGAAAAGACAGGCGAAAAACTATAGCTCGAATGTTGAATAGCGCAAAGGATGTACTTGAGCAAACAAGAGAAGCTGCAAAGGAGATAGTGAGTCGCTGTACCTCTAAACCACAACTTTGTGGGATGAACGAAGCAATTAACAAATATTTCTAGCTACTCCAGCTACAGCGGAATGAAAAAATAAATCAAGAATTGAAAGGAACGAAAGGAACGAAATCCGAAAGATTTGAATCAAAACTTCATACCAGAACACAAAGCTCGAAACACGATGCCACGAGGCAAGGCGAAACGGGACAGGGTCTCAAAAATAATCTTAATTCTGACCTGAAATACTCACTCTCCCACAATACAGTCACACGTTCAATGGAACCTAAATCTGTTCCCAAGTCTCAAGATCAGACAGCTACTGACGCTGGGTTTGATTCGCTTTGCGGCAACGATAAAAATTTGTTGACTACAACAACGAATAAGAGCGAAGAGAATGTAACTTTTTCAATTCCTAACATCAAAGCAGATTGTAGCACGAATGGTTTCGCCCTAAATCAAAAACCGAGTACTGGTCTTGGTCTGACTGAACCGAATGATAGCGCCTCTTCTACAACGAGCAAAATTTACCCTGAATTGAAACAAAAGATCAAGCATCAAAAAAATCGCCGAAATTCTGAGCCTGAAATGAAAGCAATGAAGAAAGAGAACATCACACGTTCGACATCCGAGGACGATTTACCCGATGTCGACTTTGCTGCACTTGAGGCCACTCTTCTGGCAGAGATTGCTGCCGGGGAAAAGACTCCAAAGCTTCCTGGGATACGAGCACCAAAGTTTATCAAGGAGAAAACTGATAAGAAGAGGCGTAGACGAAGCAGTGATAAAATTGAAGTGGAAAAAAAAAGGATAAAGAAAATCCTAATTGAAGAGAAAGGTGTATTGAACAAGAAGAGGAAGGCCTACGACAGTCTTGTGAACATGGAAACGCGCCCTAACTCGAAAAAGCAAAGACATGGAAAAGAACGAGTTTAAAGGCTATGTATATCATACTTACCAAGTGTGTATTCGGTTGTGCCAAGATATACAGAATTACGTTAGTGCTACAGAGCTAAACCTAAGGAAAGCAGCAAACCACGAAATAATGGGAGATTTCACACAACCAAAAATTTGAATTCATTCCTCCATTATTGTGCGTTAAGTTGCATCGTCGGGCGCCATCCAAAAAGCCTAAGTACACGAGTAGCTCCATTAAGCTTGTCCGTATTTTCATCACATCATACTAACCCGCTACCTGATATACAAAGGAAATAGTAGATGTCATTGTCTACAGTTCAGAAAACTTATCATTGAAGATATTTTTGCTCGTTTGAATTACGATGTGAGCCAAATTGTCTGATATTTACAAGTTTGCGCTCTAAATTACGACGATCCTAGCACACGTAGTTCAGCCATCATTTGATTAACGGCACATAGTTTTGATCACTAGTGTGCTCTTGATCTTTCTCGACGGACTGGGCCGACGGCCGCTCGAATATGATATAGCACTTAAGAACGAGATTATCTCAGCAAATTATACCATTACATCCATTCACAGTAAAAATCTAAGCTAAGGTTGCCATTTACGATATTCCTCTTCGCAATGAGATTCTGTAAATGGACTCGGTAAACTATCCGTTGACATCCGGGGATAAATGACGAACAAGACCTGAATATTTTTAAGAGAATAATGCATTAGTAGATCACTCCTTCATATAGACTGGCAGTCTTTTCTGCCTAACTTTAGGGTAGCTCTCGAATTTCTAGTAAAAGAAATCACAGGGTTTGAGACTCACTAGATGGGCCCGTAATATCTCAAATTTAGCATTTAACTTACCCATCACTACAAAGTGCTCAAGGTACAAATCAGATGTTCCAGAACCAGAAGATTTCAGAGAAACTCTGGGTAGCCATTTAGTGGTGATAAAACTAATGAACAGAGGGACTCCAGACATGTTAGTTTCTAACAGTGTCCTTTATGGTACAAAAATACGAAGTATGTTTTTTGGTCAAAGAGACACCCTCACCAATATTTGTCACGTAACAAATCATGATTTATACAACCAGACTGAGGAATGGATGTATATCCCGACTCTCTACAAGGGATAACTACCAAGGATTATGGGGAATCCCATTCTATCGGGCAATAAAGATCACGTCAAATAGATCTGTATTGTTTATAGACTCCGTGATATCTATTCATGTTTCTTGGAAAAGTTCTGAAAAATTTCTCTCAATGAACTACTTATCTGACTACTTACTCTTGGCAAGGTAAGTATCATAACTTCGAGGCTAGAAGAAATTTGAAAAATTTACCAATGAAGGCTGCATACAAAGCATGCCATCACCAACGCACAGGCATAAAGTACGTTGACAGGAAAAATGGCTAGGAAAAGGGAACCAACGCAGCAGCAAAGAGGACTGAAGACGGAGATAAAAATTTTTTTGAGGTAAACAGGGTAGGTCAAGTAAAAGAGAGTTGATAAAACTCCACTCTAGCGAGTGATGTTCCATATGAACATGCTTGTAGTAAAGAGTTAACAGGATCAGGGACAGTTTACATGCTGTATAGGGGAACTACTTCCACGAGTCTACGGCTCTTCCTCAAAGTTCAAGACCCTCACTGTACAGAAGAATAGAATCCGAAATGAGAAAATTCGAACTCATTAAATGTAGCTGGCTTCCTTCACGTAGATTTTAGATGTCCTTCATAGTCATGAACTCGCTTGGTGCTGTAACACAAATCAAAACTAATCTATGGCACTCCCTAACAACCTTGACGGCATAAAGTGAGACTAGGCTACTGTTAAATATACGCTCTATTAAGATCCTTCGGACATTTCAACACAGAATTCAATTAATATCGAGGTGTGAGTGAGGGAAGTTGTACGAATTCGAGGAAAGTAGCATAGCTTGTTAGGTGAGAAAGAGTCCATGACGTCCGGCCCCCAAAAGGCACCAAAAGCGCAGCGCTGTCTAGTCATAGTCCTGATCTCGGTGTTGGGAGAGCCCCACACCCACTGACTCTACAGGTTCCTTGACTACGATACTCTTGTAAGAGACCATTGTTCTGTTGGTCGAAGAGGAGAGAGACAGCAGAGGACCAGGCAGCTCTAGCTGGGTGCTGAAGTGAAGCTTTGTGAGTGATGTTTTTTTTAGACGGCAGCTGTGAAGGAGTCAAGGGAGATCCAGATATTCTGCACACTCTAGGACCGTGAGGGAGAGGAGGAAAGCTCGATAGTTCCGGTGGACGCTTCTTCCTAAGCCGGGTAGATCCCGGCTAAAAGAAGGCCGTTCGTCGTAATACTGAAATGTTCAATAGTCAACTCCTCGTACTCATGAGCTACTCACGATCTGCCGTGCATCCCATGCATCTCTCCAATCTACCAGTAGCCTGGTGCGAGTATCCACGCCGAGACTTGTTCATGGGCGATAGTTTGTCGATAAAACCCGTTCAGAATGCAGGCTGAGCTACCTGAAGCTAAAAAAATAAGTTGCCTGACTAGTTACGAATGAGCCAAAAGTACTTCAACCGTACGGCGAACTTCATCGCTACACTTTTTTGATTGTATTACTGTCAGTTCTCGGTCTATGACTAGAGGACATGCCCGTACTCTCTGCCTACAGGCCGAAGAGGTCTATGCCAGAAGTGTATCCCCTCCCATGTCTCCCACATGGCTCCCCTCAAACAGTACCGCCCCTCACAAGTCCTCATCCAATCATACACTAGGAGAAACCATTTACTCTTCATTGCCTCTCCATCTAGCCAAAGAGATGAAGGCCGTTTGCGGATGTATGACAGCCGGAAAAAATCGCAAAAACCACTGGGTGCGGGGCTCCTCTAATACCGACATCAGGACTAAGTCTGAAGACATAGTGACCCTTTTGAAGCGTTCCAAGGGGCCGGCCAGCTGGGCGCTGCCGACTTGGGTGTACCACGAGAAATTCGCCCTCTGCATTGCTAGCCTCCTTCCCGAAGGTCGTGCTGAAATATCAGAAAAGTCTTGTACGTGGGTTGTTTGCTCCGATCAGTGCTTACATTCTGTACTTGGAGCCGCAGGTAATTCTATTCCTAGCGCATATTTGTATTTAGAGTTTGAGAGATCATGTCAATCATGATCAATGTAAATAGTCCTAGAATCCCGCGAGAAATAGGAATCAAGTTGTTTTTACCGAGTTATCTTTTCCTTTATTTACGTACCCTTCGCCTCTCACTGGTCAGGCGCCCAGTTACCTGACAACAATAGAAGTCCTCCTGGCTAATTTGCCGAAACTTAGGTCTTGCCGCCGGCAAATGTTCCAAAGTTGAAACCCCCTCGCAAATGTCAGTCCCAGCATAGTCTTCATAGGCCTCTTCCCCCTCCAGCTCCACATCTCAGCTGTCTTTGCTCTCTCAAGTTGTTTATCCCATTAGAGCAATAGTCTCCCGTGAGCCAGGACCCAGGCTTTGAATATGACCACTTAATTTTCTCTTTGCGGATATCAATAGCGTCAAATTTGGTAGTGATATATGGCTGGTAATCGATGGGGCAAGCTCCTGTTTGCAAATGGAGTAACGCTTTTATCCGTCGTCGAGGTAAGGTGGTGTATGAAGAGATAGAGGCCGAAGACTTGCGTGAGAATGACGAGACCGACCAAGATGAGAAATCGTCGATTGTAGACATGCCCATGCCTATGCCTGTGCCTGGGTTTGCTTTAGACTTCGATTTGGATGCAATCTTCCCTTGCCATCCCAAACCTGCAGAGCATACTGAGCAATTTCACCGGCACTACTGGAGCGTGAAGGATCCAACAATGCCAGCTTTAAATTGTAATCCGTCCGACGCTGACTCGGCTTTCATCGGGTATTCCCCAAAAGTTTCGTGTGCTAATACATTTCAAGGAGTTATGCTGATGTAAGATTGATGTTGCTGGCATGGATTACTTGCCAGAGTGCACCTTGCTTGCTGGCGTTGTTGTTGTTTCCTGTCTTTTGTCCTATTGAGTCTATGTTTTGAAAAGGACATGCTCCGCGTAATTTCTGACAATAAAAAATGTTACTTCCATGGAGAAGTAATCAAAGGTAGAACGTTAAAATTAAGTACTCTACACAAAGCCGAGCCCGCACACATGCAACAGATTTTATCACTCCATTCCAGTTTACTTCAGAGTCTCACCATTACCTACTACGCACTCCGCAGAGGAAATTCGCCGAGGCGGTAGGTTATCAATAGTCTCTTTTTCACAGTATATTTAGCTACATAGCTATAACAGACAATTGGCCTTCATTGGTGTGCCGGCTTCACGAAACAATAAGTCCAGAAATATTTGACGTGACAGCCAGCTTTACTTGTAGGCTGGTACATACCAGAGGTTGTGGAAATTCAAGAGTTTGCATTTTGGTGGCAGGAAACAAGTTATTATCGTTTCTAGATTCAACTTTCAAGATATAGACAATGATTGACACACCAAGGCTTTAAATAACTCGTCAAGACCCGCCAATAGGATCTTTCCCCATCATTTCAAAGGGCCAGAAACTATTAATTAGTGCAACCTAGGCTACATAGTCCTATCTCTAATTTGACAACTTTGATGGTAATGAAAACTGTCACCTGGGATCCGAGATTTTCCGAACAAATAACTATTCATACGTATATCTTACGTATATATGGTTGCTACATAGCTCAAGATATGATTAAATGTCCAAAAGTTTTGAACATATTGTAGGCAAACTCTTCTTCGAGAAGAGTCGGTATTTTTCTGCCTTCTTTTCGTCTACTTTCCATCAGAATACAAAGAGCTTCTTTGAAAATTAAGTATATTTCATAATCAATACAGATAAAATGGTTCTGCCTTTGGAAGTGAAGTGTAATCATCTCTGAGCCAAGTTTTTCTGACACTATTGTAAGTGTTTATGCCACGTTAGCCCGACACATAGTATAGTTCTGGCGTAGTTATATATCTGATTCGAGCACCACCAAAACTAGGCGCTCAATTCACTCATATCTTGTTATCCGACCCATTAGAACCTTCATTTTCAGTGTTGGGTTTCTCTTCCTTAGATATAGTAGAGTCGTCCTGTGTTTTTCTTTCTCCATTCCAGACTTCCCAGACTTGCGCAGCAATTAGATCAAAATAGCCTTGACCGTTGTCAAGTGCATCTCTCTCTTTTCTCACCCTTTCTTCCTTCCAGCTCTCATTTTCTCCACCCATCCACACATTCTTCCACCAATTCTGTCTCTGGAACTCCGAGCTTTGCGTTTTGGGTGTCGGCTGAAGCTCCTTCCATCGCTCGGCGCCTTGTCGATTACTCTCTTTTTCTTCGCGTAATCTTCGTTGCATCTCCACTGCCTTTGGAGGAAGCGACGCAGTAGTATTGGCAAGACGCTGACCAACCCGATCAATCATGGAAATACCCGTGTGTTCTCGTGAGACTTCATTGCCGCCAACAAAAGTGCAAACCATCAGGCCAAAAGTGTAGAGATCAAGTTTCCGAGGAGGTAGTGCCATAATTATAGGTCCAGCTAAAAGGCAGCCCCATGCTGTATAGTGGAAGGCTTTTTGCCGGAAGTAATCGGTGTTGGAAGCGGGAGGATTATGAGCCTCTTTGTGCGAGACGGTTGAAATGGTTGTGCTCATCGTCTATGCTGAAACTTTGATCGATATGCTGTGCAGATGAGTAAAGTGGAAGGCGGTGCTAGAAAAGATATATTACTCATCCAAGGCCATACAGTTTAACTGAACCATGAAAGCAATATTGTGTAAGATAGGGCACTGAGATTTGGATTATTCTATTATGTAACAACACAGTCAGCAAGGGGAACAGTCCTGTCACATGACTTCTCGTAGTCAGTATTATGTCAGAACTTGTAACCTTGTCGTCCAGATAAATGACTGACTAGGTATCAAGAATTAGGTGTTGCTCTTATTACCAAATCACCACGGAGCTGGTCCTTCAGAGGGCAAGACTGAACACCTGTACGCGGTGTCCTGTACGAACCTGGGAGTGAAATATTCTCCAAGAGCCAAGTTCAGTCAAACTTCGCGATATCAAAGAAGTTGGCCCACGAGGCAATGATTCAGAATACTCCATCACGTCAAATTTTCACTCGCAAAGAGTTCGATTCATATCTAAGCCTCATCAAGACTACAATTACGACCTAGTACATCCTTATTCCAATGATCACACCTCTCACCGACCTTCTCTGGCCTCAGCCGGTCACCAAATACACGCCCACGCCGATATTTACACCCGACGGAGGAAGCAAAGCGTGGCGCACAAATCTGGGAGACAGTTCTTTTGGGATGGACGAGAGAGGATTCAGGACAAGTTGATAAGATGATGCAAAGGATGGATATAGTCTCGACGGGCCTGGAATTTTGAAATTTGGCAAGGAGTTTTTACAAATTGAGCTTTGTGCGTGCCAAGGCTTCGCTTGCGAGAGTGCAGCTGACACTATAAACACAAGCCGACGATGGAAGGTGTTGTGATCCGCCTCCTGATGGTGTTCTCTGGTATAGTCCGAGTAGCCTGGGCGCCTACTCCCCTTGGGAAGGAGACGCCCAAGACCATATTTCGCGCGGAGAAAAGTTGAAAGATGATGGAGGCATGTCTGGATAACTCAGGGGTTTTGAGAGGTTTCCCTGGGTGGGTATTCACGGATGAGGGTTGACTTGGGGTGAAGAAAAAGCCACCATAACTTCGCAGTGGTACTTGCAAATGAAACTGAGGCATGAGTGCTCTTCCCTTACGTTGAATCATCTATTCTGTACTGTTCTTTGATCTTGTGTCATGGCTAGATACATGCATACGCAATTAAAATCTGATGCAAAAAAAAAGGTGTTTTCTGATGACCACTTTACATAAACACTTACTAAGCGTCTAACCTGGCGCAATAGGCAGACCCGTTTGTCACATCCCACTTGTAAGGCTCGACCCGCAAGTCAGCCCAGCCAACTAACACAGAGTAAACCCCGTAACAGCGACTTTACCATGGTAAAATTTGTAGCACCAACTTCATCCAACCTGCCATCGATGTAACTATTCTGCCCTCGACGGAATAGTTTAGGAGCTTGGGGGAATGAGAGAATCTACATGAATAGCCTACATTGGTGTTTCAGCTGTTACGGGTTTCACTCTGTGCTAGTTGGCTGGGCTAACTTGCGGGCCCAGCCTTTCATGCAAGTGGTTTGGTTTGTTCATTAACGTGCTAGGTAAAGTGACTACAGTCAGACCCCTGTTAAGACGATATTTTTTTCTGGAGCGGGCTTCGGTCCCATACCTTTACCGATTACACGATTATCGTTCTTCAACCCCTGAATATCGTCTTAACCAGGGTTTTTTTGCTAGCTTGGTGCTATCAATGGCGCCAAAAAAGGGAATTTCTATGGAGCAACGACGTGCTCTGCAACGATGGGCGCACCGCCAGGTCCCAAAACCAACATAAAAACAGTGCATTGGGTGGTTCTTAGCTGAGTACGGCCATCGATTAAGCCAGTCCACAGCCTCCAAGTCCTTGAGCAAGACCTTTGCGAAACTCAACGAAGCTCCAAGTACTACTGCGCTAAGACAGCGAGCTGGAAACTGGCCTGACCTTGAGAGTATTAGAGCAATTAAAGACGGCAATTGGGAGTATAAAAGAGGCATCAAAAGTACAAAGTAGCCTAGATAGCTGGATTAGATAATGATATCCTTTTAAAGCGATATCCCCTATAAGACGATATTTTTCACGGCCCCGATTACATCGTCTTAACAGGGGGTTGACTGTACTGTTGCACTCGTACTGGAGCTTAAGCATGTGTGGGGCCGGGCTGGATCAGGGTAAGTACCATAAACTACAAATGCCTCGTCCCACCTAAGTGACAGTACCAGGTCAAACTTGACCCATGTGTTGAATCATGTCAAGCCCAACCATCCAGAGAATCCTCTTTTGACGCGCCGAAGCGCAAATTACTCCTCAGTCTTGGCAACCACGCGCCCGAGACAATGACGCCTTCGCGACCTGTAACTATTACCTCTATTCAGTCACAGCTTTGGCTTATCTCATCTAGGTGTCGTTTTCTTCATTGGAGGCCTCATCCAGTCGCCAACCAAGGCCTCCTCAGTTTGTATCTTCTTTAGTTCCTTCATACAGCATCCCTCTGTCCTTTAGCCGATCTCGTCATGCCAAATACTTTGTAGAATATCCACCCCTTCGGTCTTGCCCAGTCGCTGCCGTACTCCTAACCGTGGAGGTCGAGAATGCGACTGAGAGCTAAAGACCGAGGCACCGATGCCCCAGCCTTTGTCGAACGCCCTTTTTAGAGTGCCGGCGAAATGTCGTACGTATTTCGTCGGTGGCAATTTGTCGCAGGTCGAGTTGTTGGTGCCCTTGGCCGAGGTCAAGACGCAATTAAGGCCGGTATTTTGACCGTACCTTCACAGTGACTGGCAGTTGCGGAGGGTCGGACATCCTTTTGCTTCCTTGTTGGCAATTTGAATTTTAGAGGTATGGGATTACTTCGGTAGGTGATGAGATGATTGTGAAGAGGGCCGCGAGATGAGTTTGGCTGGGAACGATTTTCCAGAGAAAATAAATTAAGAACTTAATATTGTCGGTTGTCGTGATACGAACATCAGATAGGTTTTAACCTGTCTGCGGTTCGTATCTGGATTGCAGATGGTTGATTTCATTGAGTCGCGCAGTCGTAAAATCTCTGCCAGTCGGATTCTCGACCAAAATAAGCCAACACCACTCCTCCCGATCGCCAATTCGACGAAAATTCTCAAATTCACACTTTGTCGTGACTGAATCTCGGTTCTGGGAGAATATTTCACTCCCAGCTTCGTAGAGTACAGTACTGACAGGTGTCCAGCCTTCGTCCTCCGCATGTAAGTGGCATGCGGTAATTAGTTATGGCTCTAACACCAAGTTCGACGCTCAGTAAGTGCTTATGTAAGGTAGTCATCAGCACACACCTGAGGCTGGCTCGGTCGCGCAGAATTTGAAATTGAAACTTTTACGTGACAGGAAGAAGCAAACACCTTTTAGACGTGACACAGGTAGATGGACTCCGAGAACTCATATCTACCCACATGACCGGCGGTGAAGTCAGACGCGAAAAAAGAAAAGAAGAAAATAAAGAGGTACAGTAAATGTAAGAGTCACGCCGCCCTGCACCGTACTCTATCTTCCAACCCCATCTCCTCTCAACTTAGAAACAATCCCAGCCTGTTCATTCTTCGGCAGACTATAGCATCTGCTTGCGGTCAAGAATTGGATAACCTTCTCCCCTATCATTTCCCTGGCCTCACCTGGTGCCATTTTCTCACAGATTCTCCAACGTGGCAAAGCAGGTCGGCGCTCTGAAAAATGCCAGGCCCTTTTCTCTCGGCCGCAAACGCTTTTCAGATCTTCATGTTCGAGGGTTGAAAATTCAATGGTAGTCGGCGTAGTCTCTGAGGTCTATTCTTGCCGCATTAAGACGATGGTACGCCCAGGTCCCACCGAGGTCTTTATTATTACTTCAGATTAGGAAGCAATGACCCCTCAGTCATTGAGGTTGTAGAGTGCATTGAATCAAGCAACTACCGAAGTGAAACCAATTACAGAATTTGCAGTCACGTGTGTATCAACAACGTGACCTACTTGATAGTCCCAATTATTCTAAATTCTAACCCCTCATTATATTATCATATCTGCTTCTATAACTGTGTAAGACATGCAGGCCCTCTCTGTCTACAGGCCAAGGATACCTATACCAGTTGTGTATCCCCTCCTATGCCTCCCATACAGCCCCCCTCAGACATTACTACCCTTCACAAGTCCTCATTCAATCATACGCTTAGAGGAGCAATTTGCTCTTCATTAACTCCCCTCTCCAGCCAACGAAACGATGGCCATTTGCGGGTGTATGGCAGCCGAAAAAATTTGCAAAAATCCACTGGGTGCGGGGCTCTTCTAATACCAACACGAAGATTAAATCCGAAGACATAGTGACTCTTCTAAGGTGTTCGAAGAGGCCGGCCAGCTAGGCGCTGCAGACTTGTGGGTACCTCGGGAAATTCACCTTCTACCTTTCTAGTCTCCTTCCAACTCCTTCCCGAAGGTCGTGCTCGAATGTCGGAAAAGTCTTGACAGAGCGTGATTGCTATATGGCGGCTTAGCCCAGCTTCTTTTGTATCGTCCAGGGCGCTGGGGAGTGCCATTGACTCATCCACTACAGAAGTCTTCCTGGATAAGTAGCCGAAATCTTGGTCTTGGCACCCACAAACGTTCCAAAGTTGAAAACCACTCGAAAATATCGGCCACAGCATGGTCTTCAGAGACCTGTTCCCCCTCTCGCTCCACATCTCAGGCCCCTGTTCTCCCTCAAGTCGTTTGTCCCATTAGAGCAACAGTCCCCCATAAACCAAGACTCCAATTTGTAGATTATGAATTAATTTCCTCCTCACGTGTTTACATAGCATCATAATTGTGTAATGGGAGATGGCCGATTGCAATTGGAGTAACCCCATCATCAGTATTTGAGGCGAAGTGATGTAGAAAGATCGAGGTGGAGGACTCGCGTGAGAATAATAGGTCAAAAACTTGTCGAGAAGTCGTCGATTTTAGATATGCCTAAGGTTGCTTTCGACTTCGGTTCGGCTGCGATTCTTT